GCTCATCCGACTGAGGTTCTAGGTGGAAGCAGGATTGGATGGTCCCCGGAGCCCATGTCAGGGGAGATGACTTCAAGGAGATGCTCCAATTAATGTTCAATCATGTCACTAAAAAAGATTTGCCTCAAACACCCCAGTTGGAACACCAGCAACAATATAAACAGTCAAATCAGACAAAAAGGAACACAAGTGGCCAATAAACACACACACAGAGATTTAAGCTGGCTAAAGATTACAGAAGTGCAATAAAACAACAGAATGTTTGCATCTTTCAAATCGGCCCAGACCAAAGGGTTTATTAATACCCACGACCGGCCACAGCACAGGCAGGTTCGGCTGTGCCTTTCCAACCTCAGATGCCTGTGCCTTTGGACCCAGAAGTGGCATTTCTGAGCTTTGGACCTTCAGAAGCATGCGCACCTGTGTAGATAGGTGTGTACAGGGATGCTCGAGGCGGCGGTGATTCCAGTCGTCGTACCGGGTGCCGCTAGACATCCGCTGCCTTGACTTGGCTGTGCCTTCATGTTGCTCTGAGACTCATCAAAACTCTCACTTCTCTCCTCAGTTGCTTCCCCCCTTACTCTCAAGAAGAAATTGTAGCCATGCTGAATTCCCTCACCTTCCGTTCCCAAAGTCTCTACATCCAAAATCTTCTCACCTCCTGCCTTTATTGGTCCAGGAGGATGAGGTGAACTGGCCTGGTCCCATTCCACCCCAAGGCTAGTCTTGCCCGTGGTGCCCATGTCAGACGCTGCACCCCGGGAACATCCCGCCCCTGACAATCATCAGTCTTTCCTCCTCTGCTGCCCAGGCATCGCTTTACATTAGTACAGAAGTCCCTTCCAGGCTAAAAACAAAAGAGGGCGGCTTCTGGAAACCCTTCTGAAGGAAAAACTAGATTGCCTCCTCTCCTCTCTGATATTACCACACTTGCACTTCCGGCCACCAAATGTATGGGTTTTTCCCCACACCGAGCATTTCTCCAATTCTCTGTGGACACCAGCTGGGCATCCAACAATGCAATTCCATTCTGACGCTATCCAAGCAGAGTCGCCATCAGATCCCACAGGACTCCATCTTGATGAGGGCTTAGTCCCACCAGACTGGCCTGACTTCAGATGCCCTTGGCAAGTCCAGGTTGTTTCCTCTGCTTCTGACCAATTGCCTATAAATTGCAGTTCTCATGACGCCCTTATGGGGCTTGGTAATTTGCCAGAATAGCTCTCAGAACTCAGGGAAGCACTTCACTGGCATTTACCAGCTTATCATTAAGCATACAACTCAGGAACGGCCAGATGGAAGAGATATATAGGGCAAGATATGGGATAAGGAGGACAGAGCTCCCACCCCCTCCACTGGTGCACCCCAGGGAGAGGCGATCACCAACGTGGAAGTTTGACAAATCTCCTGGTTCAAGAGTTTTTATTGCACTCGATCCTCAGGACCTTCTCCCCTTGCCAGGTCAGTGGGCGGCGCTAAGTGACCCCATTCCCTAATTCCTTGATCTTTCTGGTGACCAGCCCTATCCTGAGGCTATCATGGGGCCTCATCTTAAGTCACCTCATTAGTATAAACTCCCTTGTGTTCTGAAGGGGCTTATTATGAAAAACAAAGACACTCCTACCACTCAGAAAATTCCTAGGGTTCTAGGAGCTGTGCCAGGAGCCCTGGACAAAGACCAAATAGATTTCTAAAGCACACCTTCCATGACCCTGCATCCTCCAAAGGGTTGGCCATTCCTTGACTCTCAACTCCTTGAAAAACTGGGCTACATTTCAATTCTCCAATCTTGGATCCCTAATCACTATTCAATTTTTCTTATCCAGATGCTCTTCTCCCCCACACTCCACTAAAAACGACCAGCAAATTTGCCTGCACATTGCCACATCAGACACTTTTAACAGTCGTTGCCTTATTGAACTTCAGCTGGCCACCTGGTTGTTATTGAACATCGACCCGTTTGGTTTCTGTGGTGTTAGCTTTTCCTGTTCTCTTCCACTCTGCTGACCTTTTTTTTTTTTTTTTTTTTTTTCCTAATCGTTCTTTCATCTTCTCCTTGGTTCCTCTGCCTACAGCTTATACGTTGGTGTTCTTCATGGCTTGTCTGTAAATTATGCTGCCCACCATCAACCTTGCCATTTTGTGTGCTCTCCCTTGGGAAGATTTAATCCACTCTCAGGGTTTTAATAGTCACTTAACTCCTAAATATGAACCTGTCGATCTGGAACCCCACCCACCGATTCAAGCTTTAGATTCGTAAGTTTGCCTTAGATCTCTCTGCTTGCACATCCCACGGATCTCTACAGTTCAACATCTCCCAAACATAATTTACCATTCTCTTAACAATTCAACATTCAAAACCTTAAAATACCACCCCCATCAAGAAAGCGCACCTCCCATGCGTAATCAATGAAATTTTTTGATCCAAAGAGTTCTCACGTCTGCTTCGACGCCACCTGTTCCAGTGCTGTGCTTTAGGCCTTATCATCACCAGCCTGATTTATTGCAACAGCTTCATGACTCAGATCCCTGCAGGAGCTCAATCTTGCCAGAATCTCAAATTCATCTTCCATACTGTTGCCAGAATAAGCTATCAAAAACGTAATTCTGCAGTCAATAAAAATGGCAAAAGATCTCATAACATGTAAAAAATTCATGATATATTGCTTAGTGGGGGAAAAAAAGCAGACTCCAAAACAGTATGTCTCCATTATGATCCCATATTGGATTTTTAAAAATGTGTATATATGCTCCAAGAAATCTAAATATCAACAGGGGTTATCTCCCAGTGGTAGGTCATGGGTGATTGTCTTTTTTTATTGATTTAGTTTTCCATGCTTTCTGCAATGAGAACATATTATTTTTGAAATCAGGAAATAGTTTAATCCCACAAATCTAACAATGTCAATTTCTTCCTTAAAATCCTGAGCTAGCTCTCTGCTGGCAGGATGTGGTCCAAGCACTTTTTTTCAGAGCACACAAAGCCTTCGGTGACCTGGCCCAGGCCCCTACACCCCTCTCTAGCTTTACTTACTCTCTCGTGTTATAGAGCAGTGGTTCTCAAACATGGGGGCGCCCCGCCAAAGTTTCTGATTCTGTAAGTCTGAGGTGGGGCTCAGGAACTGGCAGCTCTAAAGATGCTATCGGTCTGGGGGGACACATTTAAAAAAATTGTTATTGTGGCAAAATATATAAAGATAACATTTACCCTCTTAACTACTTTTAAGCGTGCAATTCAATGGCACTAAGTGCATTCACAGTGTTGTGCAGCCCTGACTATCACGCACTCTCAGAACGTTTTCACCTTCCAAACAGAAACTCTGAGCCATTAAACAAGTGCACCCTCTTCTCCCCTTCCCTTAGCTCCTTGCAAACCTCTAGCCTCCTTTCGGTGTCTCTGAATTTACCCCTTTTAGTTACCTCATATAAGCAGAATTGTATACCATTCCACGTCTTACGTTTACTCATCTTACTTATCCACTCATATCTACAGGTATACGTTGGGGTTGTTTCCACCTTCTGGCTACGGTGGATAATGCTACGAATGTTGGCGTACAAGTATCTGTGTGAGATCCGGCGTTCAATTCTTTCAGGGCCATATACCCAGAAGTGGAATTGCTGGGTCACATGGTAATTCTATGTCTGACTTCTTGAGGACTCGCCATGCTGTTTTCCGCAGTGGCTACATCACTTCACATTCCCACCAGTGATGCACCAGGGTTCCAACTTCCTTGCCAACATTTATTATTTTTTGCCTTTTAAACTAACACCCATCCTAATAGGTAGGAAGTGGCATCGCAGTATAGCTTTTATTTGCGTTTCCCTAACGGACTGGAGACACACGAGAATGTCTGTGCTAGAGTAATGCAGAGGACCTGACCCGTATTCCACGAACACACAGTATCATTTACAGCTTGGTGCTTTCGCTGGTCTGGCCCTTCTGCCTCAGTTTCCTCTGCTGACTGTGGGTCATCCTTTAAAACAAATCACAACTCAAATGTCATCTGCAAAAAGTTCTCTCAGAACATCTGGGTTGGGCTGGTTGACCTCACAAAAGGCCCCCACAGCGCGAGGAGCTATGGAAGGTGGGCCCAGGGGAGGTGGGGGAGGGCAAGGCCCTGGAGTAAAAGCAAGCAGTTTGAGTGAAAGTCTGTGTCGGGAGCAGATAAGCTGCAGGACCCTCCTCAGGGCAAACAGCCCAGTAGCAGCGCTGGAGGTCTCACCACTTGGATTTCCCTTCAAGATGAGGCTTGACACGCAAGCTGCCAAGACAGCTATGCTGACAGCCTACGCCTGCAGAGCCTTCGGGATCCATCTCAGTTGTCTCTGAGCAGCCTGCAGCCCATGACCGACCACAACGGGGCACCCCGCATTTCTGCCCGGTTCGAGACCTCCTCCCACACGCTGTGCTTGCTCTGGAGCTCCCTGTCCAGTCGCCTGGTGTTTGGGCAGATCTGCATCGCGGGCTGAGGCTGTCTCCCCACGCCTTCGTGTCCCCTTTCTTTTCACAGCTGTCCAACCTGCACTGCAGCCCGAGGGTTCCTCCTGCACATCCTCCCTTGCACACCTTTCACAAGCATCCCCCCTCACCATAAAGTGCCTGCACCCCTACCTCTGTCTCCGTCACCCCTTCCCCGGGGATCCAACGGAGGCCGATGGTCCAACCAAGCAGGTGGGAGGTTAGGTTTGGGAACAGATCACCGCACTGTCTGCCTGGCCGGTCAAGACAATACCACCCTGAGTGGGGCATGGGTCACAGAGCGTCCCTCGCACAAGGTGGCAACCCAAATGCTAAAACTCGCAATAATTCAGGCATTTGCGAAGTTCAGGGAACAAGTCATATGAGGACAATGGAATGTATTGGTTGTTAGTGAGTCATATGGATGCCCCACAGAGCGTAATGAAAAGCTGAGGGCAGTTAACCAACACTGACAACTTAGCGTGAGGGCCTTAGTTCTTAAACCAGGAGAACAGAAAAGGCCTGAAACCAAACTCAAAACTTAATAGTTAAAAGAAGAGTCGAAATCTTTATGGGTATCCACCCAGATATTCCCTTCCCAAGTGTCAGGGTCCCAGGTTTTTCCAAACAGCTCGAACTCCTTCTCTCGCAGAGACAGCAGATCAAAAACAAAATCGCAACTTGGAGGAGACCGTGAAGGTGAGTGTCACCCTGAAGGATTTCAGGAAACCGGGCTGGGTCCCCATCAATTCTCCATTGAATTCACCAGTCTGGGTGGATTCTGGAAAAAATGGCTGTGGACAACTGACAGCTCAGTCAAGTAGTGGCTCCCACAGCAGCTGCTGGGCCCATGTGGCATCTCTTTTGCTAGAACAGATTCTACGGTCCCTGGAACATGGTATCCAGCCATTGATCCGGTGAATATGTTTTTTTCTATCTCAATCAAAAAAGAATATCAGAAACCAGGTGCATTTAGAGTTTTGCCTCGGGGCTCTGTTACTGGTTCCGCTCTCTGAAGAGACTTGGACCTTCTGACCGTCCTGTGGAATGTCACATGCATCTATTAAACTGATGGCGTCCTGCTGATCAGGCAGAATTAGCAGGAGCACGTAGCACACTGGTGGCGTTGCTAATTCACGTGCAGCCTAGAGGGTGGAAGATAAACCCTATGAAGATTCAGGACTTGCCATTTCAGGAAATTCTTAGAAGAGCAGTGACGAAATCAAACTGCTGCCTCTTGCACCCCCTTCCACAAGGGAAGCACAGTGCCTGGTAGCCTCTTTGGATTCTGGAGGCCACACATTCCACACTTAGGGATGATGCTTCCGCCCATAAACAGAGTGACACAAAGGCTCTCTGGAGAAGGGAAAGGGCTGTGTGCAGCAGGTCCAAGCTGGGGAACAACTCCCCGTCACTCGGGCCATGTGCTCTGGTGGGCCCTGTGGCATTGGAGATGTCGGTCGTAGAAAGAGTCACAGCAGAGATGTTATGGTGAGCCCCAGTGGGGGAATCACAGTGCAAGTACCTGGGGTTCTGGGGGAGAAACTTCCCAATTACAGTGGAGAATTTTGATTTTATTTATTTATTTATTAATTTATTTAGAGAGAATGAGAGCATGAGCTGGGGAGGGGCAGAGAGAGAGAGAGAGAGAGAGAGAGAGAGAGAGAGAGAGAGAATCCCAAGCAGGCTTTGTGCTATCAGCACAGAGCCTGATGCGGGGCTTGATCCCGTGAACCATGAGATCATGACCTGAGCCAATATCAAGAGTCAGACACTTTACCAATGGAGCCACCCAGGTGCCCTGAGAATTTTAGGGTTTTAGAAAACAGCTCCTGGCAGTTTACTGGGCCCTGGAAGAGACAGAATGCTTGACTAGAGGACATCAAGTGACCACATTTCAGGACTGTCCATAATGTGCCAGGTTCTATTGGACTCACTATTGTGAGCTGAATTGAGCCTCCCTCCCCAAATTCATATGTTGAAGTCCCAACCTCTAATACCTCAGAATGTGTCTGCATTTGGAAATAAGGGTTTCGAAGAGAGAATTAAATTAAAATGAGGTCTTGGGGGTGGGGGCGGTAATCCAATGTGAGCAATGTCCCTGTAAGAAGTGTGAATTTAGACACAGACATGAGCATGCACAGAGAGATGACCACGTGAAGACAGGGAGAAGGTCGCCATCAATAAGCCAAGGAGAGAGGCTCCAGAAGAAACCAAGCCTGCCAACAACTTGATGTCAGACATCCAGCCTCCAGAGCTAGGAGAAAATAAATTTCTCTTGTTTCAGCCACCTAGTCTGTGGTATTTTGTTATGGAGGCTCTAGGAAACTGACACACCCAACTAGCCATAAAGTCAGGTGGCCCCTGCAGCAGTCCATGGTAAGATGAAAATGGCCCATCAGGACCGAGCCTGAGGAATCAGAGGGCACCAATGAGCTGCAAGAGCATTTAGGCTAGAGTCCCATGTCACCAGCTTGGTTATACCTCTCTCAGCTTACACCTGTGGCCTTGTGGAGGGTTCTGTACAACCAACTGAAAAGGGGAAGAAAAAAGAAAACCCTAAGCTTAGCTTATAGATGGGTTGGCTTGTCATGTGTATACAAACCAAACGTGGATGGATGGTGGCTGCATTAAAGCCACATAGGGGTGGCTTTAAAAGAATGTGCAAAGGAGAGATCCATGAAAGGGCAGAGCTTTGAGCAGCATACCTGGTTATTCACTCTGTAGAGAAGTGACCTGAACTGAGAAATGTATGAACTCATAGACAGTGGTGAATGGCCTGGTTAAGCCACTTCAGGGACTTGGAAGGAAAAAGACTAGAGATGCAGAGATAAGACAGGTTTGGAGGCATGTGAATGGCCGCATGGGGGTGGTTGGGGAGTATGAAGATCTGTTTATCCCATGTTAATGCCCACCAGAAAACAACCACCATGGAAGAGTCACTGAACCATTTGGTAGACAAGATGAGGTGGTCAGTTAACTTTGGCTAGGCTTCACCATCAACTACCCCAGAACTGCCACAGTGGGCGTCTGAATGCAGTCACCATAGTTGTAGAGACGGAACCTACTCGTGGGGCCCCCAGCACAGGTTCTCACTTACCAAGGCCAATCTAGCCACTGCCACTTCTGTACATCCATCCTGCTGGCAACAGACAAAGGCTGAGCCCCAATGTGGCACGATCCCTTGAAGAAACCCATCAGGTACTTGGTGGCAAGTTGATTCCATTGGAGCCCTTTTCATCCTGAAAGGGCCAGTGGTTTATTCTCACAAGAGATAACGTTTTCCATATGGATTTGCCCTTTCTGCCTGCAGAGCCTGAGCCAGCACCATTATCCTGCCCAGTCTTGCTTCCTCTTTTATCGTTACAGGCGTTACTTTGTCTCAGCATGTTTCCTGCACGCTCCTTTCAGATTGGCTTCCTACGTATGGTAATGTGCATGTAAGGTAAGCTTTCTCCATGTCCTTTCTATGGCTGGACAGCTCATGCAGTTTGGATGCACCAGTTTATTTATCCGTTCACCTATTGGACATCTTGGTTGCTTCCAAGTCTCGACAACTATGAATAATGTTACTAGAGACATCTGTGTGCAGGTTTTTGTGTGGACATAGTTTCAATTCCTTGGCGTAAATACCAAGGAGTGTGAATGCTGGATCATGTGGTAAAGGTATGTTTTGGGGCGCCTGGGTGGCGCAGTCGGTTAAGCGTCCGACTTCAGCCAGGTCACGATCTCGTGGTCCGTGAGTTCGAGCCCCGCGTCGGGCTCTGGGCTGATGGCTCAGAGCCTGGAGCCTGTTTCCGATTCTGTGTCTCCCTCTCTCTCTGCCCCTCCCCCGT